ATCATCGTGCCATTCACACCCCATGCCATATGCAGTGGTTGACTCTCACTGTTTAATTGTGGATGGAAGGCAAGTGCATAATGTATATCACAAAAGCCTTTTCTATCCAACGATTATCAGATCAATGGCATTTCACTATAAAATATGGGATATGCTTTAACTGCATTCAGTACTAGAAAACAAGAAGATACCTAGATTAGAGAACCAACTTTCCTTCTAAGAGTTGCCTTAAGAGCAGCACTAATATATGGAATGCACCAGCCAAATAATCAGTGCAGTCTCATACTAACACAACAAACCTTCAGTTTCGAAAATCAGCAATCTAACAAAAAATTTCACATGTTCGTTGTCAATGTTGAGTGAACTGCACTAGCTCTTCACATACGTGAGACCGATAATCAGCTGGATTACTCTAATCGACAGTCATGAACTGCATGATAAAAAGCCAGGAGATGTCACATGAACAACAGTTTCACTAAATAACTTTATAAATAATTCCTTTTGGAGGAATTGAAGCCAAACTCTAAATTCATATCTATCTAGTAGAAATCTTGTTCTGAGCATGAGTAATGAGAAATATGTCCCACAAATCCACGAAGAAATGCGTTAATTTACCACTGAACACCTGTCGCTGATAGTTTTGCATAGTACTGATATGATGAACATATTTCTTGTGAATCTGGGACCATCACAGTGCAGTTTTAGTACATGTCTGCCTCCTTATGTAATTAAGCCAATGTTAGAGATATGCATTATGCATAGCATGTAATCACTAACCTATCTTTCAACTAAAAGAAATGCGTGCTATTTATGAGTACACATTAGCGGTGTACAAAAACTGGGTGAAGTGCACAGTGGCATCACAAGTCAGACTGGCTCTTGTGAAAGACAGTTCTAGGTGCACTATCGTTGTGCTTAAAGAGAAGTTGGACAGCTTCATAAAACGAAAAGCAGAACAATTTTTAATTTTTGGTAATCCTACAAATCTGCAATTGATTTCGAGGTTGACTCTTAAAGACTAGCCAACGTATGGCTCGGCCAGGGCAGTAATGTTAGAGACTACACAATTGCTTTTGAAACTGTGCAAAGCCACTGTTGCATGACAGAAATTGGCTAAGTGTAAAATTTTATTCTGACTCCTAAAATGTCATAGAAACAGGAAAAATTAGTTCATTCTACTGCAAAGAAGCTAATAAAGTTCGAACTTTGACAAATATTCTGCAAAAAAAAAGGTTTAATTACTACTGATGTTTAACAGCAGAATGCTATTGCTATCAACTATTTCCCCAATTTGTATGTAGTTGTATAATAAATGGCTGATCTAGCTACAGACTGGAAAGCTTCACCTGCGGTTATTCTATAAAAGTTATGTTTTTTATTTCATAATAATATGAGATTTATAGACATTAAAGGTATGATGTCGGCACTAAACGTATTAGTGAAGTGATCTTTCAGTGTAGCCCCTTTAAGATATGCATATTTCAAGCAACAAGCCATTTTTTGATTCTTAAAAATATACTACTGAAAGCAATACCACAAGGCACTGCATCACATAAATGAAAGCAAATCTGAACTTGTATTTCAAATGGTTACTAATAGCAGCAACATAGGGTAATTCATAATCAACTGTCTGACATTGAATGACTGGATGTCTGAACTGCAATATTGTAATGGCGATTCAATGTTGAATAGTCTATTTGTAGTCCAGTTTGCCACAATGTAAGTATGGCACTCGTGTGTGAAACCATGTTGCGATTAAAATTTTCAAGGAAAAGAAGAGGTATGAACATTACCATATTTACTTGCGTAATCCTCACACTCGCATAATTCTCGCACCCCTTACATCGCCCAAGAAAAATACGATTTTTTTTCCTCGAGTAATTATCGCACCTCCGAAAGCTGCCGCAATAAAGTCGTCTGCTCGTTCCAGCCACTGATGATGATAGCGCGAGCTATCTGGCGCCATCTCTTAAGCACCAAGCATACTATTGCACGGAGAATCAATTCAATCCAAGCCAAGCCGAAGTGGCCAGTGCACGGTGCGGCGTGTTTTGTTTGTTGTGTCAGTAATCTTGGCACGTTACGAGGCGATACTGAAGCTACACGGCTGCTTCAAGTTGCAAGTGATGGATCATGCACTAAACAACAGCAACAGGGCCGCCGGTAGGCCCTTCGGAGCCTACGAGTTTCGTGTTCGCTACTGGTGATGTCAGCTGAAAGCCACCAAGACGCGTTGGGTCTGTCGCGTGCCTAAAACCGGGATTGATGGTAAACTTTATTTCTTCAGAAGAAAACTGCGGACGATTTTGTTAAATAGCCATCAGTCCAATACTGACATCCTACGCTTATCTTTTGAGGGCTTCTGTTCTGCGACAAACGCTACCGCTACGCCCGCAACGCCCACAAGCTTTGCGTGCGGTATTCGAATTCTCGACTATTTGCTTCCACTTTTTGTGTCTCAAATAAATCTTGTCTTGTGTTGAACCTCTGCTTTTATTGTTGAGGTAAGTTCTAATTAGTACTTCTTAAAGCTTGCTGTAAGTTGCTGGTGTGAAAATCCCGATTTGCGGCCACTTTCGTTTTCTTTTTCGCTCTTTACCTTTTCGTGGAAAGTTTTCCCCGCGTAATTCTCGCACCCCCGACTTTGCATCGGTTTTCCGGCAAAAAAAGTGCGAGGATTATGCGAGTAAATACGGTAAATGGTAAAACTATATGCTTGCAAGAGGTATTTTGACAAAATCTAAGAGGTCTTCTACAACTACTAGTACTACAAATGGATAAGCACCATCTTATACTTTGCTGTAAAGATATATAGCAAGAAAAGCTTCAAATTCCATGGCTTTGTATGCACATAGTCACTACTGGGTAACATATATACTATTTTTCTTGATTTCAAAGTTATCATGAGTGCATTAATTGGTCACAACTGATGCAGATATAGTACAAAGGGATATAGTAAAGAGAAAAATGCATGCATAGACAAAAAAAAAAGAGGAAATGCTGTTGGACAGATAAAACAATATCTACGATTTCCCACTCTGAAATGTTCTAACATAAGTTTTTTTTTGTCACACATCAAAGATAAAGCTGCACAATACCTCATACTACTTATGAATTGCCTTCTCTAACCAAGACCTACAAATCAAACAACCATGTGGTTCTCAGAGCAGGTATGAGTGTTCCGTTGGGCAAGTCGGTACATAGCTTTAACGAAACCATTGTGGAGCAAACTGACTGCAAATAATTGAAAAAACAAAAAGACAGCAGGCCCCTATCCTGTCTTCTTGGTTTATTTTTGTTTTTTACAGCAAAGCTGTTTTGGTCACACTGGCTTGTACTGCCAGTGTGGCCTTAATGAAATCTACTTTACAACTTCCTGATCTGGCCACTAGAAGAACAGTTTTTCATCTGTCACTCTTCCAAAAATTTTCTTCCGTAATCAAGCACTTAGAAAGGAATTAATCGAAAGCCTGCATATTTTTCATCTCGTGTTGACCACCTGAATAAAGTAGCCATTCCCTTTTGCCGCACCAACTATTTATGGAATCTTTTCTTTCAAAGACAGGCAGGGATTGGAACCGCCTTCCCCCCTCCATTGCTGCCACTAAGGATCAAGGGCTGGTCAATTCAGCAGTTTCAAAACACTTTATGGTGCGACTGTAGGCTACTGTTCCCTGCCTACTCTTGTCTTTTTTTTTGTACTTTTTCCCTATTACGATTTGTATTTCCTTCAATGCTGTTATTTCAAGTTTTGCCGCTTTCATATTGTGCCCACCCCCTGTGTAACACCCTCTGTGTCTTGAGGGTATACTAATAAATAAATAAATAGATAAATAAACTATAGCGGTAGTTTATGGCATAGTAGTTGCTCGCCACCGCCGGTGTCCGAAATCCATATTAGGCAAAATGAGGTAAAACTAACTAAATAAAAAATACCAAGGACAGAACAGAATTTGAACATGGACTCCCTGTGTGAATACTGTGCCTGCCAACTACATTGCAAAGTGACCCTAGACGGGCTTCATGTCTGGCAAGGAATTGCGTTAATACTATTTGTAATAAAGCATTTTAGAACATCAAAGGAACAATGAGGCTTCACACAATGTGAATTGTGTAACAAGTAAGTGATCAAATTCTCTAACCCATTACAAAAGCCTCAGGCAAAATTCTTCATCATCATCAACAACAGCACCAACAAAATACACATAATTTCTACACACAAAGCCATAAAGACATAATTTCTACACATAATACATATAAAGAATGACGAAGAGCAGCATAGTGCACAAAAATTATAATGAATAATGGCATATTGAGTACTCTGCAAGGGTGCTTGTAGCAGTTACCTAAAGAGTCTTAAAAAAAAGTGGGGGACCCTTAAAAGGACCCTCAAGAGAAACAATGACTTGGTTTAGATTGACAAAGTACACTATCAGAAGTCTAATGTCATGTTTCACTATCATAAGTTCATTATTAGTGGAGAAAATCAACGTTGAAGTTTCCTTCTTAAATTTTGTGCCCAAATCTCCGTGCGTGAAATCAGAAATTTCAAAATGTATTGTTGGTATTTTCGCGACATTGGTGCGATTAAATTTTCTGAAACTTCTTATGCTGGGTCTATAGCACCCACAGATGACAATGTACTTCATTTCTATCGATTATAAGCTACGTAGGATTCAGTAGACACTTTCAAAATTTATGACGTTACGGTGTTTGGTGGGGCAATATCAAGGTGGAGTCTCCCCCTGCATTTTCTATTCGTGCATTTTCTCACTTACCAAGCATCGGGATGTGCTAGGAGTGGTGTTTTCAGGACAGTGAATTTGTACTTCACTAATATAGTTGAACCATTATATAAAAGGCCTACTCCTGGCAACAATTCTTTTCTTTTATATGAAATGTCCCTTATAAGCAAGTTACCATGTATGCATGTTCTTATGAACTGGTATTTTACTGTAGGCACACTGGTGTCTCTTATATCAGTGTCTCTTGTAAAGGAGTTCGAGTGTACGCGAAAAATCGTTTTGCTCTTTAGTGTCCCTTCAAGCTTCGCCTTTACGAACTCAACACGATAGTGATACCCTGTTTTTAATGCGTACTTCAAACCCTTTGTTATTCCAGAAATTGTGGATTACTACAATGTAATCAATAAAGCTGAAAGCGACTTGTGTCAGTGAAGCTTCTGCACACGGCTGCATTCTGTGTAATAAGTAGCATGCTTTAACCCACGAGAAATTATTCACATGAAATGTTTTTGAACTTTTTATGCACCCACTAAGTGGTCTTAACGGAATACTTGCAGCAACTTGTCTGCTCTAAGTAATAAGGGAGGGGCAGCTTTAAACCATTAAGTCGTTATAATGACCATATGTTCTCACAACTGATCGCTTGTATCACGCAATATTACATGCGTACTTTTCTAAAGCCTGTATGCAGGACACGTGTGTTTGTAATGCATGAAAGTTATTCCACTGCATTTCCTGGCAGAGGATGTTATTTTCACTGTACTTGCAAGCAGACATGCAGCTGTGTTGTAGAACACTTGCCTGCCACGCAAATGACCTGGATTCGATCCTCACTCAGATTCAAATATTTTAGATAATTTTTTATTTGCATCACACAGAAGAAGCTAATTTTTGGCTTACAACTAACAATGTCAATGCCAACACCTAAATTTCTGCAAAACAACCTCTTTAACGCTCTCGCCTTATAAGGCTCTAGAAAGGCCGCTTTTCGAGCTTTCATGGTGACTATGCTGTGCATAAATTGCAGGCTTGGCAGTTTTTTTTTCCTTGTTTCTCAGTTTGTGCGACAATTTTTTCGTTAATAAGATATGAGGCATGGCTATAATGCAAGAGACTTGCTCGAGTATTTTACCAAATTTAAGTAGGCCAGTTAAACAATGAACATGCCATAAACTAAACACACAAAGCCTGCCACACGCAACACCATCATAAAAAAAAAGAGAACAAACTGAAAGCACCAAACTTGAAGCTCCTGCATTACCGCACACTGCACAATATTCTCTCAATTTTTTTGACCAATCAGTTCACTCATTAAAGAGAAAACATCCCTGCATCAAATATTAAAAAAAAGAAAAGTATAAATAAATTGGAAATTGTGGAAAGGGCAGATAGGGGTAGGTTCTGACAATGTTTGGTCCCTCAAAAAAATAATAATATCATTAAAAATAAATAAATAAATAAAATAAAAGCAGCCCAGTTGAAAAAAGAACAGAAGAAAGAGCATTTAGGTGAAAGTTCTGGTACAAGCACTTACTGACTGCGTGCAATGCATAACAAAGGACATGAAGGACAATCCAACTATGTTAAAACAAACGAAAAGTTGGGGCCCATAAAATTGCAGCCCCAACAATAGGCTTGCCAAAAGACTTCGAAGATGCCCTGCAAAGTGGTTGGTGGCTCAGTCTGTACGAAACCACTGAGGCCAGTTCATCTGAATGCGACGCACGATTTCCTTTTCTTCAGCTGATGACTCATCATGTGTGAGTGCACCCTCAAAACAGCGACGAAGCTCTGCTTGACGATGACCTTCATATTGTGTAGAACCAAGTAGATGCTCCACCAAGGAAAGATACAGAAGTCTTCGCTGCAAGAGAGAAAGGCATGTTTACAATTGATTGATTGATTGATTAATATGTGGTGTTTTAACAATCCAAAACCACTATATAATTATGAGAGACGCCATAGTGGAGGGCTCCAGAAATTTCAACAACCTGGGTTTCTTTCATGTGCACCAAAGTCTGAGCACACGGGCCTACAGCATTTTTGCCTCCATAGAAAATGGCAAGTCTACAACATTACCTTTCTATAACATAAACAAGACAGTGCCATGCCTATATTATTGCTGTATTTCAACAAATGTGTAAGAAAAAGAAAAAAAGAATTTACAAAAGCAAATAGCATGAGGGCACAGTTCTCACTAGTGATGACTTATCTTCCCGTGAATGAAGTGGCAGGTCTGTTAAGGGACTCATTTCTTTGTTAAACACAACCAAATGAATCCAACAAGGAATTAAGCCTAAAAAGCATAGGTGAGATTATTGGATTTTTTTTTTTGAACTGCAGTGCTGTAGACGACATACATTGAAATGAATTGAAGTGGGCAAGAAGTTCGGGAGCACACTAAAGCTTTGATTTCAAAAACGGATTCATTAGCGAATTCCGGCCCTGTTCGCATTACCTTTTCAAGCGCTAGCCTAGCTTTGCTTCTTGGTGGACACCTCAATCATGCTGCATGGACAGAAATGTGTGTGTGCATAACAGTGGCTGTTTCAAGCTATTCTAGAATGCTCATTGAAAGTACAGTTGAGAAAATCCCACTACACATATGCAAGGCAACATATGCCTACTTGCACCCCTTCACACTTAGTTGATGCTAGTGCTAATAATGATGATTACGCACATCTCAGTGCTATGAAATGGATGGGCGTATAAACCCCTCGATAATTGTACAATTTCTATGTCTCGACGCCTACTGCAATTCTACCCTTCTGCCAATCCATATTACACGCTTTAATGACGCCTCACATTACATGGAATTAGTATAGTGCTTTTTTTTTTTTTTAAAACAGTTTGAACCATGGGAGTGGCTCTGTGGTAGAAAAGATGCTTGCCCCACAGAAGTCTCATGTTCGATTCCCACTCGAACAGAAGACTTGTATTATATATTTATTTGCATCTATATCGAATTTTCGCTGACATGCTACGCTGATGTTTCGCTCACAACCAATGATGCCAATGCCGGCACTGGAATTTCTGCTAAACAAGCTTTTCAACACTTTCACGTTAAAACACCTTTTCTGTTTGTGTGGCCCGAGCCCACGACCTTCGAATTATGCATCCGATGCTCTACCAATAGAGCCATGATAGAGCATGTTTCCCCATCTACTTTGCTGTGCCTTTCTATGAGTATAATCCTTTGGAGGGTTAGCAAGCAAAAATTGTATCCAAAGCGGCGAGTGCGGAACACTCTATTTGCCAGAGGGCGTCACATGGTACATGATCTTTGCAGGAGGTGGCAGCTGACCAATAAATCCTCGCATGCAATGTAAAAGCATCACATCTACTGGCACAAGGCACTCCCTATGAAACAATGAAATTAGGGAAATTCTTCATGCGCTTGTTTATTTCTTGACACCACCACATGAATGCAACACACAATTACTAAAGCATGTAATTCAAAGATTACGGATTCAGGCACTACCGACGAAAAGAGTGTTCTTTCGTCTACTTCAGATTTCAATTCACGGTTTAATTACTATGCTACAGTTCAAAGAAAAAAAATACGAATAATGTTCTCTGTGCTTTCTTTGGCATGATTGTCTGTTAGAATCGATTGCTTATATTTTCCCAATGAGCATTTTTTTTACTCTTAAGTATTATCGCACAGAGCAAAATATTCAAGAAAAAGGTTTTTTTAGGGCAACACCAGCGATTGGCCAACAAACCTGTCCAGCATAAGATCCCCATGCCCATGGCCTGCGTGAAACACTATTACTATAGAAGTGTTCCAGCCTCTCTACTGTAATTGTGCCCTCTTTGAACTGGGCCATAATAGAAGGGACGTACTCACTAGTGCCAGTAGCTAGGGTGGGAGTGTTTGTGTGTTTCTGGTGAAAGAAGGAGAGCCTGGCCGACGAAAAGAAACAGCAGTGGCCGGCAAACCTTTAAAGTTGTGTGGGCGTTCCTTTTTCTTCGGCGTGTTATATAAATAAGCTTGTGTTGTTTAAACACCGGGTTTTGTTTTACTGTAGTTTATTCATTTTAGGCTACGGCTAGGCAGTTCATCAGGAGATTTCTGCGATGATAAAACTTTGAAGACTGGTCAGAAATCCAGGGTCTCCCAGCCCAATCAGGAGAGATGGCAAGAATGAATAAAGAACAGCAAGACCAAGGTGGGATTTCTGTCTGCCCTTATGCAAGTTTTTAACAATATCTTTTGAATTATTGGATGTGATTTAGGCAAGCATAGATTTATTGCAGGCAAAGCCAGCATGTTGTCTAGAGATATACTAGAACTTGGCTTTCAAGGCTGCACTGTGAGAGAAGGAAGGGGGCCAAAAAGAAAGAACGATGAGGAGACCAGGAAGTAGAGATGAATGTACACAACAACATCACATATTGCACCACATTTCCTGGTACATAGGATGCATATTTTTTCTAAAGTTTTCACCGGTGCATTTTATACAAAGCTATGTGCTTCTTACATATGCAAGAAGTCATGCAATCTTGAGTTACCAATGAATGTGTATATATTTTATTTGCAAGTATGATAAACTTTGCAAGGCAGTGTTCGTGAAGAGATGTTTATGTATTTAATCTTGTTATAACAATGAACCGAATCTAGTCTCAGATGGATACTTGCTGATGAAGCAGTATGGTGACCAAGGAGATTATTTTGCTATTTCGAACTGTTCCCTCTTAAATCAGGCATTAAACCCTCAAAACTGATGCAATAAAAAAAATAGGGCAACCTACTGCTTGTTAGTTACATCCCTCAGGACTAATAATAAAGCTTGATAAACCAACCAGAATGTTTTATTGTAATATTGTAGTGACCACAATCAACCAGCCACAAAAATTATTGCAATAGTTTGTTGGCATCATCATCAGTTTCCTTGTGAGACTTCTCAGCTGTCCAGAACTATAGTTGCGGCTTCCAGCTTCTCGTTGCCATTTACCTTTTGTATGTTTGTATTCTGATATTAAATATGCAGTGCATTCGTTGCTTAAGTATTCCTTCCAAGGCTTATAATGCCGTATAGGAAATTGATTGATATGTGGGGTTTAACGTCCCAAAACCACTATATGATTATGAGAGACGCCGTAGTGGAGGGCTCCGGAAATTTAGACCACCTGGGGTTCTTTAACGTGCACCCAAATCTGAGCACACGGGCCTACAACATTTCCGCCTCCATCGGAAAATGCCGTGTAGGAAAAGCCAGCAATATGCTTCAAGGTGCTTACAACACCACGTGAGAGTTACTCATAGGCCAACAATGGCAACACAGAGATGCTGCCTACTGAAGCATCAGAACGTTTGGCAGCGCACTGGAGGATGCGGCTTTGACTGAAGTAAAATATAATATTGGTTTTATACGCCTTAGAATAGCGTTATTTACAAGTTTTATCCTGCTGCTTATGCATATTAAATGCCATGCGGGACTATACATTTTGCAATGAATGTAGTTAGCCTGCGCCATGATGTTTTATCACGTTGAAATCATGATGACAGAGCTAGACGTAAGTGAGTCTTACACAGAGGTGTGTCTTATATATCATTCTTTCCTGCACAAATCTTGAAAAGTAGGGTGTGTGTCTTATTCAAAGGTGCTGGTTATATACTGGAAAATACGGCACAGTGGTCTAAATTTCCTATGATGGCCTCCAAGACCCAAATCCTTTAAATGATCTAAAGCAGCATTTGTGGCTGTTATTGCTGCCATGAGATCGCCTTACAGACCCGAGTAGTACACACTCATAATGCTGGCTGGCATTCTAATGCCTCAAGTGTATGTCTCTTTGAGATAAGCAGGCCAATCACAAATAACATGCTGCAGGATTTCAGGCACCTGGCAATGACCTACATGTTCACATATCATATTTGTTTATCACATCTTCAATGAACAAAGGCAATGTAAAAACAAATTCAGGGGTCTGAGGTATCAACATGAGAGAAGGGAACAAAAGAATGAGCCAGAAGGTGACATAATAATGAAGTACTGAGGAGCTTAATGTTGGTGCTAAATTTCTTGGTACCATTGCTAATACAAAATTCTACTGGAGATGCACAGCCAAGCATACTCAAATGTTTTGAAACAAACACAGCTGATGACTTCCTAAGCAAGAACTAATTGTCAACTATGCATTTGAGAACAAAGAAGCCAATAGCAAACAATAGAAAAAGCTTGCATTGTCTGGTAGAGTGCGCTTTTTTTTTGGCCTTATGCATTCTATGCAAAGGCTGTTTCACGCTGATCCAGCCAAAATGTGCATGCAAAATGCAGGTCTACAGTGTGCCAATCTATAGCGTACCTTATCACCAGGTGGCAGGTCACTTAGCTGTCTGGCTACAATGTCCACCAAGACAGCAACATCATTCAAGTAGAAAAGTTCTGCTGTTGTGCTGTCAGAAAAGAGCTCAGCAAGCATCTTCAACACTGAATTAGGAACTCCAGTAACCTCATGTGTTAGCACTCGAGCAGGGTCATCTGCAGACATCAAGAAAACAAAAAAATGCAAACTATGCTCCTTGTGCAGGCAATATCGTATCAGAAAGGTCAAATAGCTTAAACGAATAGTGATGGCCTTTGAAGGGGCTGAGCAACACTTTTTCAACACAGTCAGAAAATGCTGCTACTGCTGAGAATATGCGAGCCAAATGTTATAGCGCAGCACGCAGCCTGGCTTTCACAAGTACAGTAGAACCATTTTACATGAGACACAGATGCAAGAGGCACATGGGGTATAAAAGACACCAGTGTGCCTACACTAAAATAGGCGTTGAATGGAAAATGACATGTGGTCCCCTGCTTATAAGAGGCATCTTATATAAGAGACAAGAATAGCTCCCCAGTGTGTGTCTATTATAAAGTGGTTCAGCTGCAATTCTCCAAGTCAGTTATACATTGTTCTCTCTTCTCTCAAAAAGTAATGCCATAAACCCATAGTCCATGGCCATAGGCTGATTTCAGCATAGTGAGCTTTCACTGCCACTGCAACATGCTGCGACGTGCCTGTGTGCACACTCGAAATCACACTGAAAATAAGCTGCATGCTTCAAGAAGAAAAAAAAGGAGAGAGAAGAAAGAATGTGGATGTAGCTTTCTGCCCAATTGTCATCCCCCTCCTAAATGGCCTTTAGCATGCTTGCTCATATGAAAGAAGAGAGAAAGCACTTGAAGAGTGAGATAAACTTTTGTGCTCTCCTTGTATTTGATGGATTCTAAAAATTTTGTGGCAGTTAATTCATGAGGTAATAGTCTCACTTATTGAAACCATTTAATGGTTACTTGGTAAAAGTGTTACAGGGCCTCTTTAAGGGCACCGTGAGGCAAATTGAGAATTTAATTTTAACTGCTGTGGTAGCACAGATACCAGAGTCCTCAAGATGCTTCAATTCTAATAACAATGTTTGCAACAGAGTTTAATACTGTAATCTGTTCCACATAAGTGTCTTCCTTGCTAATTAACCAGTATGAAACAGCGATTTTTGGTCATGAACGCTAGCAGATATCTTCTTAATTTTCAATGGCTGACAAGCCAGTACAAGCCTCATTTGTTTATTGTTTACATAAAAAGCTTATTTTTAACAATTAGTAATAGCAGTTAAAAATGTCACATATGACATAAAAATCCATTCTAGTTCTTGAGATGGACTATTCTCCTGGGTGGAAGGTACAGAGTGAAGGCACAGATGTTTGTTGCATGTTGTAAATGCTTTGTCTCTTGTCTCATATCAAAGAGTGTGCTCAAAAATAAGCAGGGAGGGATGGCATGGGGTTAGGAAGCTACATCGCGTACAAATCACAACTTGGTGCACTTTTTTTTTTTCAAATGCACAGTCTACATTCAGTGTGATCGTGAGCACGCAGGTGAGCAACTGGGGGCACCCAGCAGCGACCACATTAACTAAAATCCCGTAATATCTCAAGCAAGCCCCCCCCCCCCCCCCTGCATTAAAAGACAAACCTGAATTGGAGGGGGAGGGGTCCTTGCTCGGTCACCGGTGAAAATTTATGTTGGCGGCGGCGAAAGAGCCTTCAAGAAGAATGCACACCTGTGCTTCTAAGGAAATGCTTTACCGAATATGCATGCAATACTGCTTTTACAAAACTGTATGAAATCTTCATGTGTATTTCACGTGTTATGACAAGGCTTGTGCGAATATTTGAATGCTACGAATATTCGGGCAAACATTACTGTACTAGTTGAATTCACTTCGCTTCTAATTTAAATTACAAAGATTTCGAAGTATTCGAAAGGAATGCATGTGTAAATGTATAATAAGGTGGCAGTTCCACTAGCGTCATCTTGCCAGTAATGCCGAAAACGACCCAAGACGCTGCCACTAAGTCGGGAATAGAAGGACAACGATTCAGAGGTCGAACTCCCGAACTTGTGCTGGCCCGTCACACTGGATTAGGAGACGGAAAGTAGGCTGTCACAGTTTGGAGAAATGAGGCATTCAGCTGGGGCTCTTTTTCCCTTCCCTTCAACACCTCTATTTTTGCCTCTAAATCCCGTGCGCACTTGTCCTCGCCCCCTGCGGCGCCGTGCCTTTCATGCGAGGAACAATGGCACTTCAAATCGCTCAAGTTTACTTTTGGTTTGCAGGCTGTCGACCAGTCCTGCCTCAGTGACCAGCTGCCCTCCATGACAATGAGTGCCGCAATGCGCGGCTGGTTTCCAAATTCTCTGGCGTGAGTCACATCACAATCGAACCATGAGACATTCTATGGTATACATGTGTAAATTATCCCTCGCTGTACCTTACTTCTGCCTCATTCAATGATGGCCATCTTTCAGTTGTGATAATGTTCAGACAGACAGTGGTCATCATAAAGAAATCACCTTTTCTTTTTATCTTTTTGTGTGTAGTTTCTCCAGTTAGCAGCCACTCATTCCTATCACTCTCTACTACGCCACCAATGATAACTGTCTCTCGAAGAAGATCCCTCAACTGAAACACACACGGGAAAGGGCAGGGATAAAAAGGTAACAGAGTAAGGAAAACACGCAAAAGGGGGAGGGGGACTGCCCTGCCACCCTTATGACACCCAAACTTGTGCAGATGCCCCAAACTGGTTGAGGAGGGAGCGTGAAAAGTGCCACGATCTGGTGAAATGAAGTGCTGAGAAGGGGCTTTTTTTTTTTGTTGTTGCTTTCAAGGCCAAACCTCTCTTCTTCTCTAGAAATCGCCACTCACTTTTCCTCTACTGAGAATTTCACACTGCAAACCACTCACGTAGGCTGCCTGGCCAGCTAGCTACCCTCCGTGACAAATAGTGCCGGAATGCAACGTTCAGTGACGACCTCTATCGCGGATGTTACATCACAAACGAACCATAAGACGTTACATTCTTCCGTGCGCATGTGTAAATGATCCCCTCTGTCCCTGTCCTTTACTCTTACCTCATTTACTGATGGCCCCTATTCAGTCACATTCTGAGCTAAGCAGCGCTCATCACATCAAACTGTGGATTTTCTTTTCTCTATTTTCTACCACCCTCTATCCTGTAACACACCCCGACACAAATGATCTATTCACTAAAGATTTATTTCTTTAGAGAAAAAATTGAGGCAGCCAAAAACATGTAAATAGAATGCCATATTTATGAAGTAATCACCAGGTCTATATATATATATATATATATATATATATATATATATATATATATAGCGAAAGTGGCACCATAGCACACAGGAAGCAGCACGCTTGATGCATGGCAGCATGTTTTTCCGGGTTACATATATTTACAACAGTTTGGAAAACATTATGGCAGCACCTTGGAAGCCTTCATCACCAGAAATATGCAAAGTAAAAAAAAAAACACGCTTGGGCGCGTCTTATTTTCTTGGTATTCCTGCAGCTACTCGGAAAATAATGTAGTCAACTCGGCCTTTTTTCTCCGCTGAAGCTTACGATGGCATGAAAATTCTAGCTTTCAAGGATGTTTTGGAGCAGTTTGGAACAATCTTTAAAAGTTTTTATGCTTCCGGAGAAGCTTGGCGCAAGAAAACGGAAATGTATAAGAAATGCACAATATGCACATCTGTCTCGTCCCTGCCAGATGTTACTTAGCCAACATTACCTGACACTTGAAACTTGACCCATACCTCGCATTCTTTCATCTTCCACCCACACTTGTATTTCTTTTATAAGTTTTAGTGAAAAAGCTACAGGACTACAGTCGAAACCCACAATAACAAAATCGCCGGGGAAACTGAAAAATTTAGTTTTCGCAAAAATTTCATTGCCGTGAGTATGAGAATAAAAACAGTGATATGGCCAGCAGAACGAAAATTTATTGCCAGATGTCGGTCCACTTACTGTGCCGACTCTTGCCATGCAACAACTTCAAAGCTCTCCCTTCGCACTGGAAAAAGTGGTCCATTGCTACGTCGTCGTCATGTGTGCCGAAGAAGGAGCAAAGGTTGTCCAGCACATCCAAAACAACCCATGGGTTGGGTTTCTCCGCGTGTGCCTCTTCTTGGTCCTCGGTGTCGTCAGCTTCGTGCACGCTTTCGATAATGGCCTTGTTGGTCACTTCCTCGTACACGACTACGTAATCATCGGCGTGAACGAACGCATCAACGGTGAGTTTATCTGGGATGTCGATGGCTCGAAGTTCCCCCCAGGCGTTGGTCAGGGATAGAGGCACTGCACCACCACCACTCTCGCCGTCAAGTGTGCCTTCGTCCAAATCTTCGTCTGGAGAGGCCGAAGCGCAATCCGTACATGATGCTTGCACGGTGGTACTGAAGCCCGTGTGCTTGAAGCAGTTCTCAATCAGCGACGGGGATGTTGCAACCCATGCGGCGGCCACCATCTCAAAAGCCACGCACAAGTTGACTTCGGTGGGACGCTTGTGGCGGAGGTTGAGCAGCAGACATGGGATCAACCTTTCCCTGTAGGCGCATTTGAAGCTCCGAATTATGCCTCGGTCGAGAGGCTGCAGAACGAAAGTGCAGTTCGGTGGAAAAAAAACCAAGCGCACGTTCGTGAGCTCCATCTCGTCGATGTGGTGGGCGCTACAGTTGTCTAAAAAAAGGGCCACCGACCTGCCTGCCTTGTGCATGTCGGCATTGAACGCCTCGACCCAGCTGGAAAAAAGAGCGAGAGACATCCACGCCTTCTTGTTTGCGGTGTACTGAACGGGTAGCGAGCGGCGGTTTCCTTTAAAGACCGGGGCTTCTCGCTCCAGCCGATGACAAGGAGTGGCCGCTTGTCTGTGCCATCCATAGTGCAGCACAACAAAATGGTAACGCATTGCTTGCTGTGCTTGCCCCCGTGGCACTTCTGGCCTTTCAAGTCCAGAGTCTTTGACGGGAGCATCTGAAAGAACAGCCCCATCTCGTCCGCGTTGTATACGTCGCAAAGCTCGTACTGGTTCAGTACTTCTTTGTTGGTCAGCAGCCATGACGAAGTTGTTACCGGGTCAACGCTTGCGACTTCTCCGGAAATCGCCTTGGACACGATGTCATGCTGGGCTTCAAAGCGATCCTACCAGCCAACGCTCGCTCGAAACTGGTCGTGCCCGAGGATGCTGGCAAAGTCCAGTGCCTTCTGCTGTAGAATTTTTCCTGACAGTGGCACTCTGTTGGCACGCTGTTCACAAAACCACGCGAAGACCACTTTATCGACGCCCAGAAAGGCCGCCACAGCCACTGTCTTGTTCTGCGCACGTGCGTCATTATCAAGCACAGCGAGAATGGCATCTTTGCCCTTCAATATGGTCGAAAGCGAGCTGCACACAATTCCATACTCTTCGGCAATATCCTTCTTCTTCCTACAATTTTCAACTTCGGCAATGATGGCAGCCTTATCGTGAAGCGACAGAAACTTCCGCTCTTTGGCGGGTGGGGACATCTTAGCAAGAGCCGATGTGCCGGTAGCCACTTACAGTACTTTCACGCAAATAGACACACACAACAAAACCCGCGGCGCTCACGTGTGTGAGGCTATGGAAGTGACGAAATGACGGAAACAATGCAGAATGGGATTGTGTCGCCACCTAACGGTGTCGCTGCAAGGCTGCTTAACATGATGATGATATTGTTACTGTTCTTTTTTTTTTCCCCGCGGTCAACAGAGATTCCGCTTCCGGCGTCAAGCTTTTCTCAGGCGCCATTGTAACCTCATCTCCATTTCGCCACCAGTTCCAGTCTTCTCTTCGTCATTTTGATTTATTCCAACTGTTGGTGTTGCTTCGGCCTGTTGAGCTCATCCGACGGCGCCATCTGCACTCCAGCATGATCATTTGCCATCACCTGCTGTAGTGTGGCCAGGCATGTTGCCGGACACAGACCCCATCGCCGATTTAAGGGGGCAGACTGCTCTTTGGGAACAAAAAGTGACAAAAAAATTCATTTTTTAAAATTGACATATTTGGCTACTGCAAGTATTTTTCTATCTCTCTGCAAATTTTCACGCACCAGGAAATAGTAATTTTTTGTAATGTCATTTTAACTGTCCAGATTCTTGGTGCTGTTAACATTCAGAACCTGCAAAAAAATGGGGAATCGACTTAAAGGCTTCTTTATATTTCGCCAGCCCCTTTGTCTAAAGCTCTACTACCAATTTATGAACGCCTTCATGAGGATTGCAAAACATGCGCACCATGATTGTTGCTTTTTGAAAAAACTGTGTTTTCAGTTTTTTCCATTTTTCTCGAAAAAGTAAATTTGTGACTATTCAATTTTGACGCCTCAATATCTCTGCAGCTAGGGCAGGTACAACAATAATTCTCTTTGCAGTGGAAACCTGTATGTGTGTAGAATGCAAGTATGGGAGCAGAATTTAAAGCACATGCCTTTTAATTATTTACTAATCAAAATTGTAACACAATTCCAACTGCTTTTGAAAATTTATAGTTCATTTTGCTGCAAAATAACCAATAAAGGCCTAAAAACAAAAACCTCTTCCATACTTTCACTCTATAGTCACTAGTCTATGTTGGCATATCCTAAATATCACTTTTAATTAAGCACTTTTTTTTCTATGGTGGCCTTAAACAATAGGGGGTGAACTTAAGTTATCTCAGGAACAAAGGGAGTTACAGGAAATCTAATTAAATATTTGAAATCAGCAGAAAAAACTGCATAACCCTGTGCAGTTTTATCAATATCACTGAAAAAATAAACAAAACATGTCTAAGACCAGTCTGCCCCCTTAAGTAAACAAAAATGGCGGTACTCATGCTAGCGCGGCAAAAGCAGACGTTTACAGATTTTGAGTGCGCATGACACGCACATGAGCATATTTTCGATAGTTAACCTTTGATAGGAGGGTAAAATAAGGCCCGCACCATGGTAGAAAATTCGTTAATGTGGGATCGCTGTCGAAAAACATTTCGTTTCCTTGAGATACATAGTACATGGGCTTCTATGAATGTTTGCCGAGGATCCGGAAATATTTCATTGCCGCGGGGATTTCGTAATCGTGAGGTTTCATTATCGCGGGTTTCGACTGTATCTCCATTTTCTGATAGCTTACAAGTCTTCATTCCACATTAATGACGAGCTCTGGAGGTGCTGCCCAGCTTTTGCCTAATTTGCCCGTGAATTTGGCATAAGCCCCTGAAATTGCACTGCTAGAAAGCAAGTGCAGCTGCGGACTGCATTGATCATGAAAGTGGTACTTCCATATCTGGCAGCTTATAGCCATAATAGGATAATGAAACTGGAAAAATAATAGGTTCTTTATTTCATTCCCATCTAGTTCCAATTTTGTAAGAACTTTCCTTTGTGTGCAACAGCGTCTCTGCTTACTTTAGCATCCAATAAGCGCTAGTAGCAAGAAAAACAATCCAAAGCCAAACAGCATTCCAGGGCAGCATCAAAAAATGAAACAGCCTATATTTTTTCAAGTGCCCAACTTCAGAAAACTTGAAAGAGTATGGAAGAAAGAGTCAGAAGGGGAGCCAGCACAGCGCTATAGCTAGTTGCCTAATGCAGTGGGGAAATGAGCTGTGCAAAGTTTGTAAAACCCCATTTCAAAAATGAAATTTTGAGTCACTTGAATGTTGTTATAGGTTGGTTTAACTGTGTCCCCTTTTGATATAACAATGTTCAAGTGTAGCAGAATAAAGTTTTGTGATTAGCAGCGTACTTGCAACTCAGTCATCATATTATGGTAAGAATGGCTGTACATTAGTTGAAAACAACTTGATCCACTTGTGGCACTACTATTTCATTTGTGTTTCCTTTAGTCATAAGAAATATTCCTAAAATACGAATGTAGTCATCACATACGTCATAAAATCCTGGCAGCAATAAAAAAATTTGAGATTTATTTAGCCATATCAACGATTTTCCAATACTTAGTTATATCAAATGTCAAATTTATTACAAGAATGTCCCATGTACCTTACCGTATAAACCGGACTTTAGGTCATGTGGGAATATAGGTCGACTCCCCAAGTTCAGGTTACCGAAAAAAAAAAAAGGAAAACAACCCAAAATTGCCGAACGACATTCATTTGCGAATTGGGCGCACCACACCCCGATCGTTGGAGCTCCCCCCAACCACCATCGCAACTGTTCTAATTTGTCAGACCAGGCACCACTGTTTTCTGAAGACGAGAGTTCGTGGCTGGCCGCCTCCCACAGTGCATTGTCTTCCGTGCCATACAGCGAGTTGCTAATGGAACATTTCTTAAAAGCATTTTCCACCATGAAATCTGGCAAGGAACGCCACGCGAAAAGCACCCAGCCACAAACAGTCGCAAGCGAAGCCTCTGTAGGCGGCCTGTCGATGTCTTTGGGTTGTCGCTGGACATCCACTTTTGGTACTCCAGCCGCACTCGGTCCTTCAACGGCTTGTTTAGCACAATGTCGATCGGTTGGAGGGTGGACGTCATACCACCTGGTATCATGGTGAGGTCCGTTTTTCCATCGCCCAGTGCGCGCTTCACAGCGTCAGTTAAGTTACCACAAAACGCATTTAACACCAGCATGCTGCAAAGATGCAGCAGTGTACCTGGCTGACGGTTCCAGACTACTCATATCCATTCGAGCATCATGGCCTCGTCTATGTATCCCTTTTTGTTGACGTGAACGACAACACCGGGGGGGAACACTTCCTTCGGCATTGTCTTATGTTTGAAAATGATGAAGGGCGGAAGCTTTCTAGCATCTGCCATGCATGCCAGCATGACGGTGAAGTGCGAGTGCTCGTTGCTAGTGGACAACAGCTTCATATCCTCGGCGCCGCCCTGCATGACCATGGTCGATGAAGGCATGTCAAATTACACAGGGGTCTCATCGGCATTGTCAATCTGCCCCATCATGTAGTTGTTCTGCTCCCGAAGCCGGTTCACGAAGCCCTGAAAGTTTATAAGCTTGCCCTCGAACTTGTCTGGAAACTTCTGACAGATGGATGTGCGCCACCGGAAAGAAAATTCTTTGCGTCTCATGAATCGACGCACCCAAGAGTTTGGAACATGAAACTCTTCTCTTGTGAGCCCAGCTTCGTGAGCGAGTTCCACAGCTTTCTTGCGAATGGTATACACGATTACTGGCAGCGAGCATGCATGAACTTCTCACACAAAGTTCCCTAGCGTATCCTCCAGCTGCGGATGAAGCGCACTTCGCCCACGAAATGACATTTTCAGAGGATTGCACATATGCAGCTTCCCTTTCTGCACCCTCCAATAGTGCGCACTTTTTTCTGATACACCAAAGCGGCGCTGAGCATCCATATTCCCATTCGCTTCTGCCAACTCAGCAACCTCTAGTTTAAACTCAGCTGAGTACTGCCTTCTCGTACCACTACTCATATTCAGTGAATGAAAAAAAAGACCACTAAAAATGAAACACAATGTCAAGCGGAGCGAGAAGTTAGAACAGATCGGAGGCAAATCACGAACACACAAAAAACAGACAAGAGAGAAAAAAAAAACACCCTGCTATTGGATTTGAATGTGAATATGGCCGTGTCCAGCTTCTCATGCACATGCAAGCCACATGTTGCCAGACAGCGGTGCACTGTCGGCTAGACACCGCTATATAAGAAGAGAGGTGACCTTAGCTTGTTGTTTTATTGAAAATATCTATACTTATATTCTGGTTTATACGGTACTTGCAAAACATTAAAGTGTAATTTCCTTACAATATGTGCAAATACAGTTTTTTCTTTTTACTTGTCGTATGGGCTACAAACATGCTAGAAGTATGTGCATGAAAATGCAAGGACACAGAAACTGTCCTTTTAGATTGTGCCACCTACACCAAGGTGGCTGTGGCAGTGCAGGGCACAGAAGACTCACCTTCTCGGTTGACCAGAAGCATGAGCCGTTCAGTTAGAGCCCGGGCATCCTTGCGGGTTGCCAGCGTCCGAAGAACAAAGTTGCCCGCTTCAGACTGAAGATGCAGATTGAGAGAGAGTAGTGTGCCCAGTGAAAGTTCTGCTACTTCTTCCTCTATTTCAGCAGATTCGATTGTGTCCAGCAGAAATCTCACAAACTGTTCACCCACATGCTCTGCACGAAAAGTCAGGAAAGTTAATTAAAGGTCAAATATCAGTAGAGATGCCCACACCTTAATGTACTAAACTTGATAAATTTGTCAACAAGAGACCAGTATTCCACACATCTTGCAAGGCCTACCTAGTGTCTCAAATTTTGATGCCACACTCAATCCCCACACTACTTTCTCAGTAAGGAGTCCTTTTATGATCACTTGGAACATACCTGTTGTAGTCTACACATGAAATGTTTTACTGATGTTCAGTTTGCTTTTAGCCAGAATCATTGTTTGATCACTGAAACTGCATTAAAATATACTTTTGAGACTGGTATGAAATGTGCCTAGCTTTAAAGATTGCCGACTCCTCATATTTTTTTAACAAAGCTTTAAAATACACTTTGGGATAATTATCAGTAATGAAATGTTACTCCTTTCTTGCTCCAGTATTAGCCTTCTATTTGCTGGTGTTACTGTACTGAAAACTGAAACCATCAAGCTTCCCAGAGCTATGTCTATAATGTTTGCCTCTCAACAGCCTCTAAACAGCTCCACGTTATCGGAATGCAATTGGATGACGGTTTGGACAACGAGAAAACGGTAACTGTAGAGAAATAATCAGTTATTAAAAAAAAGTTTTCAATTACATTATTAACCCCTTCAAACGTCACCTATTAGGAACTATCTGTAGATACGTCAAATTGTCACAGCATGATTTTAAAACCCTCAATATTCTATAACAACAAGAATACTTTTATTATTTGTGTGTTTTCTAGCAGTTAATTGAAATTAAGCTTCAATTAAATATCTACTTATCCTGATGACATTTATGTTTGGTTCTTGCATATATAGAATCAAATCCCAGAGTAGATACATAGGGCAAATTGGTTTCTGGTTTTGTTGATATTTAGAAGAGAAAAAATATATATTTCAAGGTGGCTCCAGGGAAACGCCATGTCGTACGACTCGTCGACCATGCTTTGCTTTCGGAAAAGCGATTATATGCAATATTACGGTGAAAAGTGAAGTTAAATGAAGACACGTTTATTAGGCAGGAGGCTCATTTTATCTAAACCTCATTGTATCTTGCACTTTTTAGCCCCTAGTTGACACAACTAGCAAAAACAGGTGATGCACACAATTGTGTACAAAGCGTCTGAAAGGGTTAAAGCCTGCAGTTACCCTTTCACATGTAAAGCATAATCTATTTTTTTCTTTCTTATAAAATCACCATTTCACCTTCAATGTGCTTTTATGCAATATGTACAATTTGAATCTAATTTGTTTTTTGGTCCCTTATTTAGTGTGTAGGAATGATATTCTAGATCTAGAGTAACTAGAGCTGTAAGAATTTTTTTTTAACATAAAGCCCAACCTGTGTACTATCACTAAGTGCTGAGAGCAGAATTTGAGTTTAATGCATGTATCTTTTTTAATGAGTCCTTCTTTTTAATGGCAGCTATCGTACCAACATTGAGTTTTGATTGTTTGCAGAATGATTAGTAATAATACAATTTAAAAACTGTCTACAGCACTGTACTTATTACATAATATAGTATCTATCTATACAATAATATTCTTTTTCTACTGAGCTGTGCTTTTTCTACCATCTATAGTAACAAAAGAATGACAGCTCTGTTCTTCTGAACTTGTTGAACAACAAGGAAAATTGTTACGTACCTGAAATCAATACAAAAAGCTTAACAAGTTTTAGTTTTATCAGGTTTGGCCTTAAAGCATAAAAGATTTCTCTACAACCAATGGCTATTAACGATTGGTTTTCACCTGAATATCATAGTACATGTCACTTTGTGCCCCTACAAGCAGGCAAGTGGAGGCACTGCTTATCAATGACATGGCAAATTTTGTAGTACTCCAGCCTTTTAGATGTGTGAGTCATGATGAAAACCTTAACAACTAAACATACTAAAGCAATTGTGATGGGCATGCATTTTTGCATGCCCATCATAATTGATCGTGAAAATCAAGATAACCTACAGAATGTTGTAAATATCTAGAGCCATGGTGCTAGCTACTATTTCTCTTTTCCACTCTTTACTTGATGGTGTAACACACATGATGATTTTGCAATCATTTGGAAGTTTAGTTCGTTTGAACTGCAATAATAAATTAATATTTTTTGATGCAACCATGATCTGCAGGCACACAGCTAGGATATTTTTTTTTCCAGGAGTTCCAAAACTCCACCAGTGCGCACCAAGACCTTTCAAGCACTACTCACCCCCTACCCCACCACACTTACTCACGCTTACAAGAAACATACTGTTAAGTTAGGTGAGCAGAATGCTCAATTAAATATAGCATTTAACATATGCTTTCATTCTGATGCTTAATATGCTTTGACATATTGCAGAAATACAGGGTAGATGGCTAGCTAAACAAATAAAATACAGTTCCATTTTTTAATGCACTACACAAATGCAAAAATCAAGCTGCTCGGAATATCATGCAAACACCCAAGACAAGCAACAATATCCAACGACAGTGAGGTCTAAAGCTCTACTATGAGTTTTCTATTCAATGTTACTATGGATGTGGTTACAGATTTAGTGGATGAAAAATTATGTATTGAGAAGACATCATTGCAATTCCAGCACACCATTCTCCTATACCTACATGTTTTTGACAGTTGATAAATTGTGCAGTTCTACAGGCCATATTAAATGAGGCAAGCTGTAAGGAAGACACTATATTCCTCGTGGTTAACAGCGCGAAACACCCGGACAGGAGCGATAGAAGGACACGGTACAGCGCTGTACCGTGTCCTTCTATCGCTCCTGTCCTATCGCTCCTGATAGAAGGACACGGTACAGCGCTGTACCGTGTCCTTCTATCGCTCCTGTCCGGGTGTTTCGCGCTGTTAACCACGATGAATGCTCACCAACTAGCCCAGTTTTCCATCTTGCTCAACACTATATTCCATTCTGTCTACACAAGGTTCTACAAAGTGCTGCTAAACCTAGTAAAGTGCTGCTAAACCTAGTAAAGCAAGTGGTTTTACACTTTGAGCTCATAAAAGCATTGCCACTGCACCAAGTATCGAACCTGTGCTCTTCCACTCAGCTTTGCCATGACAAAGCTACAGAGATATCACGACAGGTGCTGCATAGCAGTCGTAAATACATGTGTAACTATTACAGCAAATCCCCGTATTGAGATACAGATGCACGTTGAACTGCCCCAGCTAGACAAAATTAAAATAAAATCTCCCAGCGTGCCTCATAATTGCATTCACGTTTCAGCATGTGAAATTCCACATCCAAACCACATCAAACCGCAACCAGTTTTGGCCCAATAAAAGATAAATTAGGTAAATGAAATGACATCCAAAAAATATTTATGAGCTACCATACCTGTAAACTAATTGATTGATTGATTTGTGGGGTTTAACCTCCCAAAACCACCATATGATTATGAGAGACGCTACCTGTAAGCTAACAAACAGCAGAGGATGGAATAAATTATTACATAAGTTGTTTTTCGAAGACGTTGTGCAACACTTTTTCATGTAGGCATGGCATAATGAATTAACTAAAGAAGCTTACTACTTTACGAATCCACTTTTATAATCTGTCCAGCACAATCAGAGTTACAATAATTTGTCACACGCTGCAATTGCATTCACTGTTCTTTCGTCCCGACGAAAGTGCTCAAAGCTAGGCAAAGGGGATGGCACGGGGAAATAAATACTTCACGCATGCCTCGTGATCTTGAGCACTTTTTTTTTTTCTTCGAATACGCGGCTTTTCAGTGTGATCGTGTGCGTGCATAGACAAATCGTGGCTTTTTTCAGTGACCTGAGTAACGACTAAGTGCGCCATGCTCAAATCAATTAATGGCTGATACAATGACTGTGACAAGTCATTTTTAAGCCTGTATCGTCATTTGTTGAGAAAAGAGAAAACCATTTGTAGCTGACTTTGAGAATTTATTGTGAATTTCAGGATGCGTGCTGCTCTATGATATATAGCTCGCGCTTTCTTGGCAATCTTTACTACCATCGACAGTGTTTTCTGACCATGCTAAAAGTGTTGCAGGGCCTCTTTAATTCATGAATTTTACATGTTTTTTACAGCAAGTGGTAGTGTGTCCCAAAAAATGAGGGATAAGCAATGTACGTCGCCTGCTCTGGGTAAAATGATTTTCTTATTTATTAGGGAACGTAGGACTTCAAAACTTTTTTTACTATCCTGATCAATTCTGACGGAACTTGCAGAGATTATGAATGCTTGTAAGCTAATTTAAAATAATCAATCACTTTTCTTTCTATGATAAGTAGTTTCCAAGATATCACATACTGCTACTTCTTCGTTTAAGGCCTAATGAGCTAATTAACCATAACCTACACAGCAATGTAAAACCCAGAGAATCTATCTAAGATGTTCATAGTGTGTTGTAAAGTATGAACCATTGATTTAGGCCATTTCCTAGCAAAGTTACGAGCTGGTTGAACCAGCTTTAATTTAGAACATTTTTCTCATGAAAGTAATATATGACAAAATGTACCTTACAATGCATATCATCTGAAAAATATATTGCTACTAGCCATTGATTTACTAAAAGGTAGGGTGCACAGAAAGGTTGCAAATAGATGTACAAAGACGTCAGGAACGTGCAAAGGCTCTCAGTGAGAACTTAGGCAAGGCATGTTTTAAATTGGGTGACAAAGACGGAACAAATGGAGGAACACATATACAAACATAAGCATAGAATTTACAACGAGTGGGAAATGCTCCGCCTATGTGTGTGTGAATGTGTTCCTCCCTTCGTCTGGTCTTCATCGTGCAGTTTAAAGCATAAGCGAAAACTTGTCTTTTTGGCTGATTTTTGGTCTTAAAAGTGCCACACACCCCCTTAAAAATGTCGTGAACGAACCCTCAAGCTTGGTGAGAAAACACATCCTGCAGATAATAAACAATAGTGCTATGAACATCTAAGCCATGCAGTTTTGCAGGGTGAAGAGAGTGTATAAGTGAAGTGCAAAGTTGTCAATTTC